AGGATTTCCCCTGCTCAAACAATGATTTTGATCAATATTTAGGTCAAGCAAAACATAACCTATAATAGCTAGTTTCCAATATTGAGCCGAATATAAAACATTACTTCAAAAATCATGGGAAAACAACATTAAAATAACATGTATTGACGTATTTAGCTAAAGTTACAGTATAAACTGGAAATCGGCATCTTAAGAATAGACTTAGATTTAGACCCCCTGAGAGAGAGCCTTTCAAAATTCATATTTATTTGTAACAGTTTAGGATCTAAATACGAAAGGACCATCGCTGTCCACCCTCTCCTTCAAATCCCACTTACATCCTGGTTTCTTTAATTACTAAACTCACAGTAAAACTGAAATGAACTGTGACTAAATTTACAAAAAAATCATCATTATTATTAGGCCTACGGTATTATTATGAAATTGAAATGATGTATTCTGAAATGAATAAAATTAATTTTGTTAAATATGAATTATATTGTACAAGACAATAAAACAATAAAAAAATAAAGAATTTAAGTTACAAAAAATGCCGTATGAATGTCCTTAAGTTATAGATGCTCGTAAAAGAATCAATGTTCCCTGACAACAACCATAATAGCCTATTCCATTCAGTTTGAAAGATGTTCTAATTCTGACACCCTTATGATCCATGTTATATGTTACCTCTTCTACAATCAACCCTTGAATTTCATTGGTCCTGGGGCTAACACATCAAAGCATATCAAACACACTAACCTAAATAATGCGTTATGGTTACCATCATCATCACTCATTCTTAATACATGTGTGATGAAATAATTGTGTCAAAGGTCTTTTCCAAGATGGAATAACGCAGAAACTAGGCTAAATTGTTTTATAGTCCATTTTAAAGTTGCTGCATCACGACTTTGTGGCCACATATACAGTGCACAGCATACATTCTAACCCTTAAATGCTCATTTACAGCAGTTCCCAATGAAGAACAGGTTTTTCCAAATTCAAGCAGCATAACCACGCAAATAGAATATGAGTATGGTGAAAAATGACAGCCGTGAGGCCACACAAATTTCTCATAAATGTTGTTATTGTTACAAGATGTCTCGGTTTTGGGTAAACTCGAACAATAAATCCAATATGTTAATTGCTTACTTCATGAATTAAGTCATTAGCTTTTAAAAGAAATATTGAACAATAAATTTCTATTCTCTTTAATTGACAGATGCATAGTTCTGAATTCTTTGAATAGACTGTTGTTCTTTGAATTGGTTAGTAGGTCCTTTAAGGATTATTGTATTCAAGTCTATTATTCAACGAAAACTGAATTTATGAGGGGTATTTCAAACTTTGCAGTACAATATATATTTGAATAATTGGCCCACTTTTAATTAAATGCCACTCCTGAATAGATATCCACTCCTCCCCCTTCCCCCAGAATTTCATTTGGAATTAACTTCTTTGAATAAATTCCCCCACACCTAACTGGAAAAAAACTAATAAAAGAATCACCAATCTTCCACCAATGTTTTACTCAAGTAGAATTGAATTTATATGGTTTTCATGACCATACAAAAACTCTTTCTCTTTCCAGGAAAATGAAAGCGTGTTTTTATGAGTAATGCATACATATATCCATATTATACGCCCCTCAAAAATCCCCACAGTAGGTAAACGCTGTGACATCTTTTTTCCCCTTTTTATTTACATGGTACTAGTAGGTACCGGCAAGGAAGTGTAAACTATGCAGGTTTTTAGTGGAATTTCCGGAAACTGGAATGATATTCATCTTTTTTAATTGAGTCTCTCTTGAAAACTATTGATCAAATATAAATTTTAAAAACACCTTTGTAAAGCTTATTTCATTATCTTTCATATGGTACTAAATATGTTCAAATCCATTCACAATAAACATATATAAAACGTACTAGAAGTATAGTCACTCAGTAGAGAATTGGGTTAGTGAGTACAGCAAACCTGGCGGCGCCGCGCACAGCCACATGAGCCATAAATGCACACGGGACCAACAGCTTAAACGTCTCATCCGAAAGACAGTGCGCTAAATTGTAACTTGTATATTCAGCCCTCTAGCTGAAACACAAGGAGAGGCAGCGATGGGAATTGAACCGGTGACCTAGAGATCTCCACGGTTCAGCGCACACACAGTGGCTACCACCAGATTAGCCGACTGAGCTAAACTGCTCTCTCTGAGCTAAGCTGCTCTCTTTACCTATTTACTGTAATAAGAATGAGAAAGTTTACCTGACCGTTTCCAAGAGGGGGAAAACCTTGAATTTTGAAGAACTTAAAAGTCATTAAAAGCCACCTCAGAAGTCTGGAAAGCTCATTTCCCGCCATCTAAGAATAAAAATTTTCCAGGCGGTAGGAGCCCCGGACCCCCTTTTTTGGCGTTTTTATGAAAAAAAGTCTGACCCTCCTCCTAAACCTAAATGTTAACCTAGATCCGCCCCTGCATAAACTATAAAGATGAATAAAAAAACAATAGCTGCAGAGTATGAGGTCATTTAGCTGGGAGAGAAATATCTAAAGCCTATTTACATCATTTGCCTTTATATAGAGTATACCGACATTCACTGTCAAAAGGAGAGAAACCTCGATTTCAATTCCACCTTACAGTATCACACAAAATGGAAAACAATTCTGGAAAGGACCAGTATGGTATGGAAAAATTGATAAAAACACCTTTTCATGTAGGTAACGTTAAGTGAACTGATTCACAACAGGTGAACCACAACAACACAGTTCTGTTTCTGTCACCTGGGGAGTGATTGCAAAAGTTGACCAGAGGTGGCTGACGGCCATGAAGGGCAGTAAGTGCCAAAATGAAATCAGATAGTCAGCCTCTTTACACTGCAAACTAGTCTAATGAAAGATTTATTGATCCCAAGTGAAACAATAGTACTAGTGACAGACCGAATGCCAATTTAAGCTTTATCGTCCATTGTCCAGGGAAAACGTGACTGAGAGTGGTTGAAAATTGTCAAGTAGTGTTTTGGTAGTAGGCCTACAGCTAAACCTAGAAAAAATGGGGAAAAAAATGGACTTCGCTTGCTATACACTAGACAATCATGTTAAAACATTTTTTCTTTAGTACATTAAAGTATGGTAGAATCTGCTGATTCAATGGTGGTATTTGTAGTTTTTGTGAGTGGTACACTTAGGCCCAATAAAAAAAATTATTAGTTTATCATGCATGTCTTCTATGTTAGGCCAAATAAAAAAATATACTTGTTAAGCGTCACCGCCTGCTTCTGATTTTCTAGCCGGCACCCTCCCCCACCAACCTTTTTTCCCCTTTTTTTTTAAATGATGAAAATCAACTAAAAAATGCCGATAATCGAAGGAAAATGATCGTTTTTATTCATCTCGAGTGCAGGGAACAAGCTGTGAAGTGCGCCCCCAACATCAAAGCATTTTTTTTGCAGGTAGGTTTTGTAGTGATTGGGCTTATTCGACTGGTTCATTTCGTTGAGTACGAATTTTAGTTAAGTATCATTTTCATTTGATTGGTTCGTAAAATAGACTTTGTTGACAACGAAAATTAACGTAACCAGAATGCGTTAATCAGCGTTAAGTTATGCACATAACCGAAAAAAATATGGCCGATTGGCCAGTTTTGCCACAACATTTGCGTTAATATAATTTAGATTAAATTTCAGAAAATAAAAATTAGAATATTTACCCACATTGAAGTAAAAAAATAATTGTAGGCTAACAAAATTCAAAAACTGGATGAAAACATTTTTTACGAAAAACCAATACTGCCACAATCCAAAGCAGCCTTGATTACGCAGCGTGTATCACGGTAACTATGCAGCCATTTTGTTTTGTCAAGTATTTACCAGTTTTCTATTTGACTGGTCATCTTTGTTAAGTAGGTGGGTGTGGTTTAACGAAGAACAACCAGTCGAATACGGCCATTGGTTTAGAACTTGCAATAGGCTCAACCAACCTGCAGAAAAAAACTCGCTTCCCGCACATGTACTGTACTTGACAGAAGTTCACATACATCAGTAGTGTAGTACATGTTTAATTTGGTTGCTTTTCGATAATAAACAATGTTTTGAAAATGATAATAATACTCTACAATGAAAATAAATAAGGTTTGTGTTACGATCTAGACAGCTACTTAGCTTCAATTGGCTGATTTTTTAGGCCTAGGTTGGATAGTAGCTAGCTACAGTACCAAACGACTAGGCCTAGGCAGGCCCAGCCCTAGCTAGGCTCTCAGTCAAGAAAGTCAAGACAATTCACACACAAAATCGTATGTAGGCTAGGCCTTGCCAAAAATAAATATCGTACAAACAAATCTGTTTTACGTACACTGGTTTGACGGCGTACGTAAAATTTAATTTCTGTTATGGCCTGTTTCATTCAAGTTTTGGTTTGCCACCCATTCATTCATTTATTGAAGCTGAGAAATGCTAGGCCTAGGAAAGCAAAAAAATCGCCATACTTTGCTGTGGCCATTCATGGGCTGTGTACATAAATGGTCCTAAATGTGTTTCCCAATGTTTAAAAAAGATGTACTAACTCATTTGTAGACTTTCTTTTAAGTAAAAGCCAAAAGGATGACATAAATTGAAGTTGAGGACCGTGCAGAGATGTCAATCATGGAGCAAAAAAAAAAAAAAAAATGCCCAAATTACTGAACTAAATCATTGAATTTCAGTCCCGATTTCAGTACAATGTACCCTTTAATGCTCAATGACCTACAAATGTCATAATCAGACTCAGACAAATCATCTTTGATTTGATATAAACTCATTAGAATGAATAAATTTAAATTTTCAGTCAACAATTAACTGAAGATGTCTGTAATTTCAGACCTATATCACAACCAAATGATGTAAACAATAATTATTCAAAGTCTTTAATCCAATGTCTGCAATAATGCAACCTAAAGGGCATGAAATAAAAGCTAGCCTATTATAAAATTTAAATTATGACATAGAGTAATAAATACATGGACTTATATGAGCTGACATGTGGAAAATACTAACCTCTCCTGCTGTCTTGCCATGTAGGTGTCTGATACGCATGATTTTGCGAAAAACGGCATGAACAATGGCTGTGCGTAACCGCATCCCCCATCGTGTGTTCAAGTAGAATTCTAAGCCGAATCCAAGGCAGGTTACTGACTGGCACAGGAAGAGTGCTAGAACAAGGATCATGCCATAATGTAGGTCCGCCACTGGCTGCTCTGAATATTCCAACAACTTGCGTACAACAACACTCTATGAAAAAACATCTAGATATCATAAATGCTACAGTATAATACAGATATAGATATGGATAAATATTAACTTAGATATCATCCCCAGAGTGAGGATTGTTTATGTTGAGTGCTACAGTTATAATAAACAATATAAATTCAATCTTATTCAAAAGTATGTACATACATGAATCTTTCCAATATTGTACTGTATCCCTTAATTCCCTTCTTATCGACAACCTTCATATATTAAAACTTTTTTACAACTGTAGTTTTCTATATAATATTGTTTTTCTGAATGTGAATTACCTACTTATTGAGCAACAGGCTCCCATGGCCAAATTAGAAATAAAATTTGTTTCTTGTATTGTATCATTCTTTTTTTGGCTACCTCTTTTCATTTGTTTTTTTTTAGGGTGGTTTGGTGCAGCAGTTTCTTCTAAGCCTTGTGGTCATGAGCTTAAACCTTGCACTGACAGGTCTGAGCCATGCTTAAATACAGTATCCCAACATGCATTGTTGACAGGCTGTATTATTGTGGTTTCAGTTTTAAGGTGCATGCATTTCATGGTCCTAAGCTGCTGTGAACATTCACTGGTCCATTGGGATGGCTTGTATCGTGCTCTGCTGGCTACACTTGTGCATGACTAATGATGTCATATTTAATGTGGCTATTGTTCGCCAAATCATGCTATAAACAAACATTTTTAAAAGCCACAGAAAATCCTGCAGAAATTGAATCATCCTTACAAACAATGAGTATGAGAATTAATTATTAATTAAGAATTATTAATTAATTTTTTCACAATTTAAAAATCAGACTTTTGAATTGTTAAGGCTTTGTTGCTCTGACTGTGTTAATATTTGACAGACCCTATTAATATTGTATAGCCTACATATATCAGTTCTGTTGTGTTTTATAATTGGGGGTTTTGATAACTTTCATAATGTTTAAGTGTGCCACGGTTTAGAAAGTCTTGTATCCAATTCAATTACTTAGCCTTTTTACTATCTGTAGGTTTATGCTGGCTAAGGCCTTGATATGTGGCTGTATATATGTTGTGGCAATATTAGTAAAGAAAACTAGAAAACAAAGGCTTCAAACTTATTTTTACTTTGAAAAGCTTAAATGAGAAACATTTTTATTTTTTTATTTTGCCTAATGCTCAAATTCAGAACTATTTCCGATTGCCAGAACATTTTCAGGCTATGTAGGATTAGGACATCAATATGTCAATTCAATGTCATTTCTAAAGTGTATTTTGATGAGCTTAAAATGTCCTGATCGTGTGTTTCTAGGGCGATATGTCAGGTAAGTAGGAGTAAACTAAATGCACAACTCTTGTCACTTCAATAGAAAGTTCAAGATGTTTTAAAATGTTCAACATGACTTACACCTACTTAACCCAAATCAACGTTTCATGTAAATAAATTTCAAGTCAATTACTCAAATCATGCATTACTCACAGCCTCAATAAACCATGAACCCAGTGTGATGACAAGAACAAATACACTAATGATAACTGGTCGCCATAGAAACTTCTGGAAAACTTTCCCAACAGATGCGTTTTCTGCTCCCTTTTTGGCCAGTTCCTCTTCCCAAAGCTCTTCAAATCTGAAAAAAAAAATGTTTTAAATGTGTGAAACCAAGGTAATCAGATTGAATTGAGTCGAAAAAGATTTAAAATTAAATGCATTTAAATTTACAGTATGGACAGTGGGCTCTCAACATTTCCAAGCCCAGTAAAATATTGCCCAGGCTCAGTGTTTCAGACTCAAAATGTTCTTATTTTGTTCTTATTTTTACACTACTTTTAAACATAGAAAATCATTATTGTAAAGCAGTATATTACTGACTGTATTATAAAGGGTATTACATAGTCACACATACTGCAAATAACATACAGATCATAAGATCTGTTGACTTTTCTATTTAAAAAAAAATAGAAACCTCATTTGACATTTTACTTCAGCCTCAATTTGTTCTTATTTTGTTTTCAAGCAATTTCAGCCTCAGTGTTCTTATAAAATGTGTTCTTATATTAGAAATGTCAGTTTTTAATTAATTGGTTGATTAATGTATTACTGATTGGTAGCTTATTTGATTAATTTACTGAGTTCAATCATTCAATCAAGTTATTCATCAATTTATCAACTGTTCGATGGAAAATTATTTATTTGTCAATGTATTGGTTGGCTCAATCTTATTGATTTTTCAATTGATTGAATCAGAAAAGGAAAATTTGTCCCCATTGTAATTTTCAGATAAAAACAATATACAAAATTAGATATCAATTTAAACATTTACTTTTATTTTTATTAAACAAAATATAAATATGTAGTTAAAAACTAGGGTCATGACAGCGGCAGAATTTCACCTTGCTCTTTTGCTATTGTTAAACGCAGACTGACAACAAAGAGTTTCTGAATCTGAGAAAGCCAGATTAGCTGAACTACACACAAATACTGTCTGTGTTTGTGTATAGCCTAGGCCTATTGGATTATGAAAGGAAAGACCAAAGCAGAAGGCTCAATTCCAGACAAAGGTAGTTTCCTAGAGTACTGAAATCACCATCAGTGGGTATGTAGGGCCTACAGTACAAACTGAATCATTTTCAATAAGGGCATACCATGTTGGGTAAAGGAATTATAAACTTCCAAGACCATATTACTTAATAGCTCAGTTACAACCTCAAACAAATTATAAGAAATTTATATAATAAACAGGAAACAATACACCATGCAAAAACAATGAATCCAGTCAAAAATTAAACTTCATCTACAATTGATCCAAAGCATTGGCAATAGCTAAATTACAATCAGAAAAACAATGAAGAAATGAAATTTACATAAACTAGAAACTTGATACCCACATACTAAAAATTGATCAAAATATATGGTAATTACAATCAGAAAAACAATGGAGAAATGAAATTTCCCGTAATAAACTGAAAACAATACACCCAACATCCAACAACAAAACTGTATCCAGTCAACAACCGTAATCAATACGTTAAAGGGCATTTGAAGCTGGGTCAGGCACACATGAAACGAGAGTGAAGGATCCTAGAAATAAACCAAATATATAAGAACTTAAATTTGATTTGATAAAAGGAATATGCAGGATAATGGACAGATAACTGAAATTTCAACTGGATTAGATTCACATGAGTTGTGGCTTATGTGGACTACATTCAATGGACCTGTTAAGCTGGCATACAATTATATGAATGACTGTCTGGAAAATCTGATCAGATTTTTGTGACAGCAATGTATCACTATCATGATATTTGGAAAAAATCTTATCAAACAATTCATTTCTTTTCATATAGGAAATTAGCTATGGTAGACTCCAGATTTCAAAATAGAGGAGGGCTAGGGAGGAACTTAGATAGATAGATGGTCTGCATCACCTCAGCCCGACCAAGGTTGGGGCTAAGGTACAAAATTTTATAGTAGCTATAGGCCTGTGGCTGCAAATGGCACTATATTAAAATATGAGTGTATTTTTCTTTTTCTCCTTTAGTTCTTATGGGAGGGAATCCAAGCCAGCTACCTCCCCCTCCCACCCTTAAATCTGTCATTGGACAGTGTTCTACTTCATCAGAAAAGTCTCATCAAATGTTGTCTATAGAGTTTGACAGAAATATGTGGTAATACTTACACAATTTCTTTCTTTTTTATTCTTACAATTTCATTTATCATTAAATTGTAACATTATCTGACTCTAGAATCAGCAACTATAGAGAATGATTTCTAAGGATTTCTGTAACTATGTTGGCCTTCTTTTACACACACAGTGCCTGGAATTAGTACGGTATACGTAGTATACGTATACGTAGTATTAGTATATTACTGAAGCACAAGACGAGATCACAAACACAAATTTGAATCACAATAAAACATTACCAAATTTAAAATATAATTTGATATACAATTCATTACAAATGAGAAGAAACATTATTATAACACTAATAAAGAACACATAAAAGGAAATGTTAAAAGTTCAAAATATGAATATGACTATAAAATAAAAATTAATGATAACAATAACATTAACATTGAACAAAAATTGATAATAATATGAAATAATCACATGGTTTATTATATGGTTTGCTTAATTAGCATAGTTTAATGGCATATTAGCAATCTGTAGCATCTATTGCAATCTATTATTAATGTAGTAGGTCTATAAATCAATGCAGTTGACTATTTAACAAACTACAGTATAACAATCTGATTCTTAAACTAACTATTGTCTATTTTAACTAGGCACACAATACATTGGCCGACACGACTTGATGGAGAACCCAATCATTTTTAACGACGGTACCCTCTAACGGCCACTGGCAATCAGCAGAGAGTGTCGCATCATCTAACACTCGTGCAAAGTAGAATCTAGGAGGCGCGTGCGGTTTTGTACGTTCATTGTCACAACCAACCGTTGATTATGTGACTGAAAACCGGACCCACACCGGGGTTCTGCCCCTGGATCCTGGGGCCCTGGCACCACCCTTAGCCAACTGGTGTAGTTGCTCATTTGAAATCTCTCAAGTTGGCAATGTTTTACACCCATACATTGGTTTTTCCATGACTGACTATTTTAGCACAGGGATTTTCCACAACTTTATGGCATGATTGCGACTTATCAGGTCTTTTCAAGACTAAATGGCATGCAAGACTTTTCCATGCGAGAAAAATATTTTTTAATTCCATGAATTTTCAAGAATTTCCATTAAAGCCTGGATGTGTTTTGCTACCATGTTCAATGTGTATACGATAGCATAATGCTTTATACATAGAACATATCAAATCTCCTATAACTTCCGTTAGAAAATTGCTCATTGGGCAAAAACAGAACTCGATATGAAATACAATACTGAAAATTGATACATAACTTACTATTTATCATGAATAGTTAATTCAAAAAGAAATTATAGGCCTACATAAGTGTGGGTATAAGGTTTCTAACTGAAGAGCCATCTGGTTTTTTTCAAACTCAAGAAAATATTAAGGTATTAGTCGGCCTCTAAATGTACTGTTTGGCTCTAAAATCTGGAAACCCATCAAGAAATAAATTAGAACATAAACATTAATTTGCACAGTTAAAGGGATCTAGTTATCAACTTGCAGTGAGATACACTAATGTTGCATTCACTTTTACCTGATTTACTGTCTTCTTAGGAAGAAAATCCTTAAATTGATTATCGACCACTTTAAAGGCTTTGCAAAGGATATTGGAACAGTATTATTTATTAATCTGCTAATTGGCGAGGGAAATATTTTCCCATTCTAATTTCCAGATGAAAGCTAATAACTGACTAAATACAAAGTAAGCAATTTGAATATTGAATTTTAAATGTTTTTGTTCATTATTTTCAACTGAACATGAACAGTATTAATTATAAACCTGAAGTACCCTGTGTGCGCAAAAGCTTGGTGCATCAAATTGTGTAGTTTTTATTAAAATATAAACAAACAACAACATGCATAGAGCAGTCAAATTTTTTTACAAAAAATAATATACAATTAAAATTGGAAATAAGTTAACAAAGACCTATAGTACACAAATTAACAGGTTGGACAATAATAAATAAGTTCAAATTAATATAGTGCAGAAGCTAGACACCTACATTTTACTTTACAGTAATAAAAAAGGGCCAAGCTATGTAGGCCAATGTTTTACGACAAAATGAACCCTTTAAGATGTCATAGAAATAATATTTAGGTTCATAATCAAATAAATGAAAATGTAAACACTAGTCTTCCACATGTTTCTATTAGTCATTATTCTAGATAGCTCAAATTATTTATAAACATTTTAAACATTAACAGGGAAGTAAATTCACATTATCATAAAGCAAATACTGTCAGTTTTTCAATATTTGAACTATTTATCATAGCAAGATATTTTCAATTGAACTTTATTAATTGATTTTAGTTAGGTTTTTCTCAATTTTACCACAAGCAATACAGTAAATGAAACTTTGTAGTAGTAATAATGATGATGATGATGATGATGATGATGATGATGATGATGATGATGATAATAATTTTTTTTTTTTGACGCCTTCACCCTGTGAAGGCGTCAAAGATAAGATAAAAAAAATTACGTCAATGTACTTAATATTGAAGATGATGATAAGGCTTTTCAAAACACATTAGTTAATCATGTAAAACTATGTTGTTAACTTAATATTTTTCTTTATATAAATTATTAATGAATGTCATAACTCAAGTATCAACTAAACTCTGCCTTATGTATTACACTTTGGATTTATTGTGTTGTGCCATTTCTTTGTTGTTTTTTTTTTGTAGGTTTTTTGAAATAAATTGAAATTGAAATTATCCAAGAAGAGAATTAGAGATGAGTAGGACTATGTCATCATAATGTGACTATGTCATCATAATGTGACTATGTCATCATAATGTAATTTTACCTTTCTGTATTCAGGGTATGCATTCAGTGCATTTGGCATCAATATAATGCAGATACAGTACACTTAAGGAAAAAGCAACATAGCTAAACTGGTGGTAGCCAGTTAGTATGTGCTGAACCGTGGAGATCCTCTCAGGTCCTTTGGTCTCTGGTTCAGTTCTGTTGCTGGTCTCCTT